GATGAAGCCGACGAATGAAGTTGACATCCATAGCGATTCGGGGTATCGGAAGCTTACCGGGGAGGAGGATGACGAGACCAAGGGCTACGGCATACGCGGGGCCAATGTACTACGGCGAGGAAACTCGCCTCAAGGCAAGTCCGTCGTTCACCTCTGTGACGGACTATGCAAATCACACCGATTACAGGTGAGGTCCAGTTATGCTGCGGAGGCACTTGCAGCCGCACATAACCTTGATGAGTGTTACCCTACGCTCATTACTCTCCACGAGCTTAAGGCAGGAGCTTTGACTCCACGACAACTACGAGACATGCGTGAAGTTGGAGGCCTAGCTATCAAAGTCTCTCTTACCATAGACGCCGAGTCCGTCTACAAATCTTTATCAAGCAGGGATCTCAAAATACCTACAGAACGGACTCTGCTTGGACATATCAGCTGGATACGTGAGCTCATGGATATAGGTATAGTACATAATGTGCAATGGTGTGATACTAGGGATATGACCGCAGATGGGCATACAAAGGGAAGCATCGATCGGGAGCTGCTTCTGGAAGTGATGTCAGGCACTCAGTCATTTAAGTATGACGTGAAGCAATTTGTTCCCTTTCGGGGTCCCGAGGACAGAGACAAACCTAAGTCTAATCAATTTTAGTCTGTCCTTGTTGCCCTCGCGGTCCAATTTGCCAGCACGGGCGCCTACTATAAAGGCGCCCCTCTAGTTGCTCGGAAACGAGCCTTATATTTCACGCCTGGCAACGAGCCGGCTTCGTACAACTCAGGCTCTTTGCCTTAATACACATTTGCTTGGTGAGGTATGGCCTGTTTGGCTTACCTCTAACTGAGCCGATAGCCCTTCATTGTTTGAAGGGGCTGTCTTGTATTTGCGTGAAATACTTTGCGAGGAAACTCGCCTTGCAGTCTGGTGTTAGGCCAGACTGTACGCACTGTTTTCTTTTTTGCAAACAGTCGTGCGCGCGACCTTTGCGTGCGACTATGCTCTCCGTCTCCTCCCCTCCCGACTTTAAGGGTAGGTCTTTGGGAGATGTTATAGTATCGGGAGCATAGCTCGCGCGCGCCGTTGCCTTTGGCCCAAGGCACGCGCGCCCTATTTGCCCGGACACCGCGAGTGTTCGCTATGTGTTGGAAAGATCATTACATCGATCTTATCCTATCTTATCCGCCCACCCCTCATACTGTACTATCACAGCAGAGCGATGGACGCTATTTGCCATCCGATGTCTATCATGGAGTCGGATGCTATTTGAGTTACCAGGCTCACTTTCGACTCCCTGTGCACCCCCAGGTGTCTGCTGGCTGCAGACCTTGGCCATGCACGTGTCGCGATCAGCTGTGGGCGCGCTCATGATGTGCATCCCTTCCGCCTCGCCGAGTCAGGTCTCTGGTGCGTAGCATGTGCTGTCTGCGGTGCCAGTGGACCTGGTGCAGTACCCGCCCTCTCTCTGCCGTGCCCAGGCCGTCCTGCCCCCCACTTTTGGGGGAGATAGGGTGTTGAAGGGCTTGGCCAGAGGGCGGTATCAGGTGAATAAGAAGACGGGCCGTCTCGTGGGCGCTGCAGGCGCCGAGCTCGTCTCCAGGCTCCCGCGGGCTGTTGAGGAGCCCGCGGCAATCCGCTCGGCTTTCGTTCGTGAAAGCCAGTCTTCAGAGGCTGGCCAGGAAGGGCCCACAGTGGTGGCGTAAGTGGTAAGGTGCGCCACCCACCGCGGGCCTAGTACAGGCGGCCCAGATCGAACTGGTCCGCTCAGGCTGCGTCCATGAGGAGGAGGAGGAGGAGTAATGCGAGGATGAGAAAGGGGGAGAAGGAACCTTTCAAGGAGGAGGCGGAGGAGGAGGAGGACGGAAAAGAGGACGAGGAGGCGCACTGCGAAGCGGAGGAGGACGGGGGGCACGGGGAGGAGTACGAGGAACACACGGAGGAGCACGGCGAGCAAGAAGAGGAGAAGGATGAGGCACACAAGGGCGATGCCGATGACGGGGTATAGGATGAATAGGAGGAGGGAGAACACGACGAGGAGGAATCGCACCAGGAGCATGGGGAGGATTTCGTATGAGGAGGGGGCGTTGAAGAGTGAGATGAGGATATACAGGGGGAGGAGGAAGGGAAGGAGCAGGAGGAGGAGGAGGAGGAGGAGGAAGAGGGGGAGGAGGAGGAGGAGGAGGAGGAAGAGGAGGAGGAGGACCAGGAGGATCAGGATGGCGAGGACCAGGAGGGTCATAATGGGGAGGAGGACGAGGAGGAGGAGGAGGAGGAGGAGGAGGAAGAGGAGGATGAAGAGGAGGAGGAGGAAGAGGAAGCGGAGGAGGAGGAGGATGAGGAGGAGGAGGAGGGACGGGAGGAGGAGGAGGATGAGGAGGAGGAGCGGCATGAGATGAGGAGGAGGAGTTTTAGTGGACGGGGATGGGAGTGGGCGACGGTAGTGTAGCGGAAAGAGAATTACGTGGATGCGGGGGTGGAGGACGACGACGGCGATCACGAAATGCTAGACGACGACGCCGAAGGCGCAGGCGAATCAGAAGCAAGCAAACGCCCGAACACTCTTAGGAGCCACCTTGGCTCAAAAAGCGCTGTTTGGGGATTGTCCTGCGCGTTGCCGATGTTTCTTTGATTGGATACTTGCTCTGGTCTCGCCGGCACTTGTCGCACCACAGGGTGCACCGACGTTGTTATCGTTCTGCGTACTGCTTGTGCTGACCTCAGGGATGTCTAGATCTGCGTACCGCGGGCGTCTTTGGTCGTGCCAGGCTGCTCCCCCATCCTCCAGAAGATTCTTGTCACACCGAGCCCTTCCGCAGGGGCGCCCACGACCTTGCATTGACAGGCATGGAAAACTGTCAAGGCGCTGAATCAAGGACAATTTTGGCCTCAGGAGAGGCTCTGGTTTTCGAGCCGCTCCGCAAAACTGTGTCTGGGAACATGTGCGTGGGCAAAGCTAGCCGTTGCCAGAAAAGCACCTTCGTTCCTCATTCAGCGTTCTTTCGGGTAGCATTAAGTCGGGCCTGTCCCTCTACACGAGGAACATTTAAAAAATAGTAGAACATCGTCTGGGGTCGATTTGTTACTATTTTTGACAGTTTGTCAATATTTGACTACTCTTGTTTCACTTGTCGTCCAAAATCCGCCTGTAGGAGGACACGCCCAAACTCAGGGTAGCACGATGGCTGCACATGCTCCCCCTCAACCAGGGGGCAGGGTCTGCATTCCACGCCCGGGGTCTGTTGTGCACCCAGGTCATCCACAGGAGGGCGAAGAGGACCGCGCCGCGCGGTCAAGGCCGCAGAGCTGCCCTTCTCCAGGGAGCGGCGCGAGGGCGCGGAAGGAATCCGCGCAGCGCGAAGCGCGAGGTTGAGTCATCTAGGTGCGCGACCCGCTGGAGAAGTGCCGCTTCAGCCAGCCGCACCGGGCTCCCCCTGAGGTCGACGATCGACTCGCGGAATCCTGGAGGAACGAGGAAGGAGAGGAGGGAGGACAAGATAGGTGCGCTCGAGCCACATCCGACATCCCACCCCTACCTATCCCTTCCTAGTGCGCTGATTGTTTCTCTATCCGCGGACGCGTGTTATAGCTGACCTGGAATTCAGAAACAAAAATAACTTATGGCATGCGCAATCAGGAAAGGGGGGGAGGAGGAGGCCGGTGCTGCAGCCGGGAGCTGTGGCTGAAGCGAGGCTGTGAGCTTCAGGCTGGTGCAGAAGCCGCCGGACATCTGGCGCACATTCGAGCTGGGTGATCCCCAGGGATTTGCAAGAATGGGCAGAGCGTCGTTCAAACATCTGTTTTGGAGAGTGAAAGAAGGAGGAGAAGGAGGATGAGGTGGAGGAGGAGGAGGAGGACCAGTGTAAACCCAAGAGCCATCAACGATATTGGAGTAAACCCTCCCTCCAAGCTCCCTCCTCATAGGCCCCTACAGCAGTTCATGTCCGTTGATGGAACTGCCTCGTTGGAGGACACCCGTTTGAAGACCCTGAAGCATGCCAAAACATTGGGTTCTCGGGATTCCAACACCACGACTCAACCCGACTGTTGCGCCTTGACGATCCTGAATCGCGCCAGAATGCCATTCCTAGGACTTCAACACAGAGAACCAACGTAACTGTTGCACCCGCATAATCCTGAATCCTTCCAAAACGCAAGTTCTGATACGTCGATGATTGGAACCCGTGAAGCTCGTGCAACTTTTGTTTAACGAATGTAGTCGGCGCTGAGGCGAGACTCATATTTTGACGAGGCGCCCTCAGTTCGTCAAACCCTACGAATGTGCGCGGCGCTAAGGCGAGAGCCACATTTTGAAAACAACCCGCGCTCAATCCGTGAAACTCTTACACATGTTTGAAACGAATGTGCGCGGCGCGGAGGCGAGAGCCACATTTTGAACATCACTCGCCCTCAATATGTGAAGCTCTTACAAATGTTCAACACATGTGCGCCGCGCTAATGCGAGAGCCACATTTTGAAAACCACCCACCCTCAATCCGTGAAGCTCTTCCACGTGCGTTCAAACAAATCGCCGCGCTAAGACGAGAGCCACATTTTGAAAACCACCCGCCTCCAATTCGCGAAACTCTTGCAATTCGTTAAACGAATGTGCGCCGCGCTGAGGCGAGAGCCACATTTTGAAAACGGCTCGCCCTCCATCTGTGAAGCTGTTGCCAATTTTTAAGCTTCAGAGTCATAAATGGTGAGGAGGTCTCAGGCGAAACGCCCCGACCGCCTTAAAAACTAGCCTCGGGGTGCGGCAGGGAGAAGTTATTCATAAGGAACAGGAGTGGAGGAGAGACACGGAGAGGGAGGAGGAGGGGGAGGAGGAGGGGCAGAGGGAGAAGGAGAGGAAGAGAATGGGGGGGTGATGGGGGAGGGAGGAGACGGGAAAGGGGAAGAGACACTGGCGGATACCAAGGCAGAAACGGATTGAGGAGTTGGCCACGTGCAGACGGCGGAGCATGGGTGAGCAGGGTATTGTGGCCCGACCGCGACTGCACCTCAGGCGGCCGGGAAGCACGGGCGCGAGCGAGACTTCGAGAAGACCATCGAGAAGCGGGTCAAGGAGCTGAGCAAGGATCTTGAGATTATGTTGCCCACACCTGTGGAGGAGCTCAGGGGGCGGTGCACGAACGCGCGGATAAGCAGCAGGAGATAGAGAGAGAGAGAGAGAGAGACGGAGCGACAGGGAAACATGCAGATCCATATGTATATATTTATCTATTTATATATATATATACATGTACGAAGGGAGAGTGAGAGGGAGAGAGAGAACAAAAAGAGGGAGGGAGAGGGAGGGACAGAGACAAAGAGAGAGAGAGAGAGAGAGAGAAAGAGCGCACCGACGAGGGCGGGCCGAGTTCCGTCGGGGCACGCGGGGTGCTAGCGCCCGCTGCGCCCACCTCATTGACGCGGCAGGTTTCGCGCATGAGTGACAGGGGTGGCAAAAAGAAGCCTCCCCCCCCGAGCCTGGGGGCCATCCTCGCCGTTCGCCCTCCGAAGCGCCGCGGCGGAGGGGGGACCGGCTCGTCGCGCCCATTCCCCCTCCCCTCTCCGCCTCCCCCTCCTCACGCAATTCGTTCGTCCCTCCCCCCTCAGGTCCTCCTCGCTCCCTCGCGGAGGGGGCACGCGGTCAAAAAGGAGACCCCCAATGGAAAGCAGAAGCGGGATGTGGTGATGCGAGCGAGACTCGCCCCCTCCACGCGCTGGGCGAGGTGGCAGGCCACAGCTCTCGATCGGCTCGAGCCCCACGCCCGGTGTAAGCCTGGCGCGAGCAGCGCATGCGCCTGGCGCCGACGCCGGCGGGTGGCTTCCTGCTGGTGCATTCCGTCTGGGCAGCTTTGGTGGCGGCCGCGGACGTGTTCGTCCACTGGGCCCCCGCCTGTGCGGGCTTGGTGGAGGAAGCAGCGCACGAGCACAAATTCTCAGAGCTCCGAACGGACCTCTTTGATCAACGCCAGAGCCCCCTCCATGGCGCGCGGAGCGCGCCAGGGGTGTTCAGCGCCAGTCCAAGAAGTCCGTGCGGAGCTTCGAAAGTTAGTGTTTATGCAGCTGCTTGTTCCTCTAGCGAGCGCCGACCTGCTCGACTACAACGCGGGGTACCGGGGCTCCCCGCGCCGGGAGCGTTTCTACGCCGCCGCGGGCTGGGCCATCGAGCTCGTCGGCCGGCTCCACGCCAGGGTGTTGGAAGCGTCTGGCGCGAGCGAGGCCGATGCCGAGCTTTTCTACGTGCCGGCCTTTCTCGGCCTGCTCGTGGCCCTTCGAGACGATGCGAGTATGCGGTGTCTGGTTGAGGTGTTGAGGTCCCTCTCGTCTCACAGCGCGTTCCGCCGCAATGCTGGCTACGACCATTTCTACCTGCATGGGCTCGAGCACCCAGTGGATGCGGGCTTCGATTTTGCCGAGAGCATCGGAAGGCCGCCCGATCCACATGCTGCGTGGCTGGTGGAGGCTGCTTACGCAACCCTGCAGAATGCGGCCGTGGTGGCGACGGGAGACCGCTCGCAAGGCACCCTCGTGGCCGCGCGCAACGGCAACCTGTACGGCATGCGACGGATGGTGACCGCCCCATTCGTTCTCGAGGAGGACTGTGCGGGCGAAGTCGGCCCTCGGACTGTGCGATTGGCGTTCGTCGGGTCTGTTCAGCCATACAACCACGAGCGCGCCATGTTCCTTCAAGCCGTCCAGGCCGAGTTCGGGGATGCCGTCCAGCGGCTGGCAGGCGGTATGACCGTGTTGCGTAGTTCACGGGTGCAGTTGAGAGCGCTGTTGCCCGATGCCCAGAGTGGCGCAATGCTGAATGCCTCGCAGCGGGCGATATTCAGCACCCACGGTGCGCGGCGGTGGCTGCGCTCCCTCTACCGCCGCTCAGACCTCTGCCCCGTGGCGCCCGGAGACGTGCCGGTGCTGGGGCAGCGCCTCTCCGACGTGGTCGCAGCCGGGTGCCTGCCCGTGGTGCTGGTGGGGCCCGGGTCGTACCCAGTGATGCCGCTGCAGGGGTCCGTGCGTTGGGAGGACTTCGCCATCTTCGTGCAACTGGGCGACAGCACCTCCCAGGCTGGTGAGACTTCGGCTTGCGCGCAGACAGCCCCCCCCCCAGGAAGTCCCGGTTGGCCTCAACAGGCCTCCCGAGGGGCAGTCTGAACACCCCAAGCCTGGGGCGCGGAGTGCCCCCAGGGCGCCGCTGGAGGCGGCGCCAGGGTGTTGAGACCGCCCCGGGCTGCTCGGGGGGCATGTTGAGGCCAGCTGGGAGTACCTGTGGGTGGCTGTCTGTGCGCAGCCCCGCAGCCTTACACGACCCAGGCGCGGCGCGCCCTGCGGGGCCTGCTGGCCGTCGGCGCCCTGGAGGTGTCGCGGCGCCGCGCCGCGCTGCGGCGGTGGCGCCCGCGCCTGGCGCTGGGGCGCGCGCTGGGCTGCGGAGGCCACCCGCCCGCGCGACCCGACGCGGGCGACCTTGTGCTCGAGGAACTGCGCGGGCTGCAGCCGATGTGGAGGCGCCAGGTGCCTGGCGGCTCCCTGGGGCTGAACGGCTCGGCCTGCCGCGGCAGCGCGGGCGCGCGTTGCGGCGCGCTCTCTGGGCTGCTGCCCTCGTGGGGCTAGGTCGCCCCTTCCCCGGCACCTCCAGGAGTCGCGGCGGCCTGGAGACGCGGCGCTTCTCGCGGAGCATTGGGGCGAGCATTCCTTACCGAGCGGTGGGAGATCGGAGCCGCTGGGGGAGGGTTGGCTCTGCACGTGCGGGGCCACGCTCTCCTCACCAACAGCTGACGCGGCACTTTCGGAGGCGCTGACAGGCATAGCTCGCCTGAGGGCCGAGGGGCCGCTGCAAGCTGCCCCAGCTGTCCCTGCGAAGTCGCAGGAGGGACCCCGCGTTGGCGATGCCGAGTGCTGTTCGGACGCCTGGCTGCTGCCCGAGTGGCTTGCCGCGTGGCACGCGGTCGCGGACAAGAGGGCAAAATTGCGGAGTCGCAGGTAGCCTTGTGGACGACGATCAACGGAGAGGAAGCTTGCAGCCAAATAATTCCCAGATGTCCATAACATGTTCACAGCATGTCTTAAACGTGTAAAAGGCATGAGTAAAACATCTTGAGGACATTTCCTCAAACATTGTAAGTACATCTTTCATTCAATGATGTCATTGTAGAGCGGTCCATTGCCATGGCATCCACAAAGGCAGCCTTCTGTGCCGCGCGGAGCTCGGGGCGGCCCTCGTGCGAGGCGCGGGGGCGCCCCTGGCCGAGCCAGCGCGGCCGGCGGAGCCCGCGCGTGGAGTGCGGCACCGCCCCCGCCGCCGCGCCGAGCGGGCGCGGCTGCTGCGAGACGCCGCCGCTCTTCGAGGCTCGGCTGCCCCCCAGCGCTTGGCATCGCTCGGACGTGTGCTTTTTTTCGGCGGGGATTAATCAGGAGCATCCTTGATCATTTGGCGAAGAAACCACGCACGAAACCAAAACAAAAAAAAAGAAAATGGACGTCCGAGCGATGGCAAGAGCGCGCCAGCCTGGACGTCGCGTCGTTGTTCTGCAACTTCGTGGTGGTGACGGCTGCGCTGGCCGAGGCTGCGTCGACACCGCCTGCTGCCGCGCCCAGCATCAACTGTCGCAGAGGGCGCAACCCGGAGCCCATCATTGTGCACGTGGTGTTCGCCTTCCCGATCTCCTTCGCGTTCGGCAGCGATCTCGGTGGAGCGCAGGTGTCATACGTTGAGGTTGCCAGATGCTCCGATGTTATGGCACTTCCACCCTCTCCCGTATGAGGAACTCCTCCCTGTCGCACCAGCAAGCGTGTCGTTAAGGCGGGCTCAGCGTTTAGGTCAGCACTTTTTCACCGTGTGCGACATTGAAGATTGAAACTTCCGACGGCTACGCGGTTGGATGGCGGCCATTTTCAAAATTGGGCTGTCGCTTTGGATTGCGCGCGCTCCCTGTTGTCTAGCAGCAGCTACAAAGACGGAGTGCAGCTGTTTTCTAAATGGGCACTCGCCCCCGCCACACACCCGTCAGGACAAACATACAATAGGCACGGGTGGAGGGCGGATTGTTGTCATCATCATCATCATCATCATCACCATCATCATCAGCAACAGCAGCAACATCATCATCATCATCAGCAGCAGCAAAGGCCGCCGCGCGCTCAGGCCATTGATGGAGCAGCGGCCTCCAGTCACCGCCCCCTCGCTCTGCCCGAAAGGCAGGGGGCCTCTTGACGATACCCCGCACACCGCCATGCCGCCATGGACGTGCTCCGGAGCGCGGGCGCCGCGCACCTGCTGAGCACAGGTTTCGCTCGCTGACATCAGGAACATGGACGAGCGCATGGCCCAAGCACCTGACCACCAGCCACACGGCGACGCCGATGCCGAAACATTACGACACGCTGACCATGAACTACTGGACGCTGAGCTTCAACAACAACATCCTCACGAATACAGAGGGCCAGCACAGGCAGGATCACACCACGCGGCCCATGAATTGCCACCAGTGGAACAATTGCACGCCGAACGTGACTTGCCACTTGGACTACTACCCCCACACCCACAGTGCGAAGGACTACTGGACGCTGAGCATCAATCCCAACATCATCACGAACATACAGGGCCAGCACATGCAGGATTACGACACGCGGACCCTGAACGACTGGACGCTGAACGTCAATTTCAACATCTTCACGAACACAGAGGGCCAGTACGTGCGGGACTGGACGCTGAGCTACATCTCCATGAACACAGAGGGCCAGCACATGAAGGATTACGACACGCTGACCCCGAACTACTGGACGCTGGAACACTACCTACACACCCAGCTCGCGAAGGACTACTGGACGCTGAGCATCAACTCCAACTTTTTCACGGACATAGAGCCAGCACATGCAGGAGTACGACACGCTGACCCTGGACGACTGGGCGATGAACTTTAATCTCAACGTCTTCACAATCACAAAGGGCCAGTACGTGCAGGACTACACCACGCTGCACCTGAACCGCCATCAGTGCAACAACTGCACGCTGAACTTGAATTGCCACCTGGACTTAAAGGTCGACATGAACGTCACCCTGGTAACGAACGCCCTGATCATCAATTTCCAGTCCGACGACCCACCGACTTCTCCTCAAGGCCCATCGAACTCACCATCATGCTCCTCGCCCTACAGCACCTGACGCGCACTGGTGTTCAAAGGGCAGGAATGGGACATGACGCTGCAGATTATCAATACGCGGGCCCGCTCGCTGAGCGAGTCTATCAACCCAGTCGACGGAAGCTCGAGATTGATCACGACATCAGCTCCACCATCATCCAGACTTTCGACATCGGAAAAAAAGGAAGAAGCCCCGCTGGCAACGTGATTCAGGACATTCATGCATGCGTACGTTTATCTTACTGGTTCGACCATTTATGGCGATTGTATCTGAGGATAGGACTCATACAGAATGAAACTCAATACGCACAGAACATTGGTAAGCAGGACACCCTGGCCTCACTGGGCATTTACGGGGCTACGAAGAAGGCTGAACCGAACATCAAGATCAGGCAGTTAGACATTTACGACGAGCATGGCAAGCAGGTAGATGTCATCACGCAGGAGCACGAAGGCTACGAGCACATTACGGACTCCCTCAGGAAAAGCGGCCCCCCAGAGGACAAGAAATGCCTGCAGGGGACAGGGTCGCCAGCTCCGTCCCGCGCGCTGACGGCCCTAGAAGGACTGCACAAGTGCGACGTGGGCGGCTCCATGAAGAGTGCCATCGAGGACATCGAGGCGGAGACGGAGATCAGCAAGGGAGATATCCTCGACGCCATCAACTTCGCGCGCCTGGAAAAGTGCTACGACCACGCCAAGACGAAGCTGGTGATCGGCGCGCTAGGCGCGCCCATGTGGGAGGGCCGAATCCTGATCAGCCGCGCCCTCGAGGCCGAGGGCCAGGCGGTCCACCGCCGAGACGCGGGCCCAGTGGGCTGGCTCGAGGGGGAGGCTAGAGACGCTCGAGCAGTGAACCCGTCTTTTTTTGCTAGAGCGAGCCTGCAGGCCACAATGCAGGCCACAGCGGAGAGGAGGCGTTTCAACGCCGCGTCAATTTCGTTCGAGGCAGAGACCTCCCTGCCAGCAGCGGCACGGTCACGGCCACATGCCCTCCCTCCTCCGTCGTGCCTCCCCCCCCCCTGCCGGGCCAGCGCGTCCAGAGGAACTGTGTGAGGTGGAGGCCCCACCTGAGCATGATACAACCGCCGAAGAAGAAGCGGCCGAGTATCTCAGCTAGCATTTCGACGCTGCTTGGCACGCGCTGCGCAGGAGGCCCCTCCGAGCAGCACCCTGGCAGTCTGGCCCAAGCGGGGCAACGCGAGACAGTCGGCTCTCTGCGACGGATCACTTTAAATCTGGTTTCATTGTACACCATATCCTGATATCAGATGTTGGTCCTGACGTCAACGAAAAAATCAGCAGCAGCATCATCACCGTCAGCATCATCAGCAGCAGCATCATCATCATCATCATCGTCATCATCAGCATCATCAGTCATATCAGGTGTGTGAGTATTAATATTCTTAATCGTATTACGATGATACTTAGTCCTAGTCGTATGGTTGCTATCCATAGTAGTCGTAGTATTGTGATCTGTTATCCGTATTAGCATTGTAATCATTGTGTTCGTCATTCCCATATTCAGCGATTGCAAATCATCATCATCCCCTTACTTCTCCACCGCACCCCCGTCTCCTTCCTCCCCCTCCACACCCCCAAACCTCCCCCTTCTCCCAACCCATCTCCTCCGTTCAGCCATCGTTCCCCGCACGTGCGCGGCCCAAGATCTGTCCAAGACCGCATTGAAGTAAAAAGAGAGGCCATGATATTTGGGGAGATAGCATGGTCCCGCCCATGATATGCCCCCCCCCCACTAGTAATCACCCCCCTCTGGGCCGCGAGGGTTCGTGGACTCAAGGACGCGAACATCGCATAATTTACCAGGGGTCGTCGCCTCGGGGACGCGAAGATTGCATAATTTACGGAGAGCCGTGGCCTCGGGTACGCGAGCATTGCACAATTTACGGGGGATCGTGGCCTCGATGACGCAGATATTGTATACTTTGTTTTGGTTTACGGCCTCGAGGCTGCGAATAGCGCATGCTCTACATTGGATTATGGTGTAGATGATGAAAACACGGTGTAATATTCGAAAGGTCGAAGCCTCGGGGACACGGCTGCCGCATCAGCTACGAGGGATTCTGGTTTCGGGGACACGAGTATCGCGTGATGTTCGCCGGTGTATGGTCTCGGGGACGCGAATCTAATGTAATGTGCAATGGGTTGCAATTTCGGGAGCACGAATCTCATATGATTTGCTGGGGGTAATGGCCTCGGGCATGCGAATATCGTGTAATGTACGAGGGTAGATTGCCTCGGGGGCGCGACTATCTGGTATTTTTTAATGTCCCACGACCCCCCCCCCAAGAATTCTGAGCCCTCCGAGAGGGCTCAGTGTAGGCTCTTTTGGGGCTCCCCCCCCTCGCGCGGACTTCAGCAATTTACGGCAGGAAGCAGAACATATAATCATTACATTGGAAATTGGAAGCTGAAATTGGCGCAAGGAGCAGCAAACCTAACCAACGCAGCCTGGTTGCCCCACAAGGAGGGTGGCGGATGTGTTATACTTGTCCACGCTGCTTTGCATTGCGCTCGGACTTTAAGAATCATAATCCTTTTCCACACCAGTTTTCTTTCTCTTCGTGGCTCTCTTCCTCGTCATCTTGCTCATCATCATGTTTATCTTCCCCCGTCACTCCTCCTCCTCCTCCTCCTCCTCCTCCTCCTCCTCCTCCTCCTCCTCCACCCTCTCCTCCTCCTCCTCCTCCTCCTCCTCCTCCTCCTCCTCCTCCTTCATCGTCTCACTCCTTATCCTTCTCCTCTTCCCCCCCTCGTGCCTCGTTCCTTCTCCCTACTCCCTCCTTGCCTTCTCCCACTCTGCCCCGCCTTCCCCCTCCCTCGGGTGGGGGGGGGGGGGAAATAGCACCTGAAGGAAATGGATCCTTACACGCGTGTATGCTGGTACGCCGTCGTCCACCACTCACCATGACCCGAGCACCAACCCGATTCGCGTCTTCAGCTTCGCGATTCGCGTTTACTTGGGCATGGCCCCTCTTCCGCGCTATACGTTCGGCTACGAGGCGGGTAGATTTTGAGCGCGCGCGCGCGCTGGCTCAAGCTTGATATTCTGCGGAGTCGTGACCAGGCGGAGGACAAAGGGCGCGACGATAGGAAAGTCAAGACGGTTGGCGAGGAGAGTGGCGGCCATAACGTGGAGTGTGGATGAATGGTTCTGAATGGAGTTATCTGGTGTATCAAATGAGACAGACATGAGGACCGCATATCAATTGCACATTCAGTTCAAGGCTCGCGCGCCTGTGTTTCCAAGACACTGTACCTTCGTTGTCCTCTCTGCGCTGTAGGGAAGGCATCAACCATAGTATGTCCTTATTGTTGCCCGCCACCGCAATCAATGTGTCAACGTTGTTAGATGGCCTCACCAAAAGTGTTTCGACTTGGTAGCTGAGCTGATCACATTCCTGTACCGACATCTGCTCAAACCCTCTGCACACGCCGGCATCTACGAGGCAGGGTGCGAGCTAAACGGCGGCTTTGCGATTTCGTGGACCGTTTTGTTTTGGTTTCGTCTGGAAGCAAGGGCGGAACGAAGACAGAACGAGGGACAACGAAAGCAAAACGAAAACGAAAAACATTGCTTAGCTGGCGCCCTGCTACGAGGCAGGCCACTGCAAGGAGAGCCCAGAGCGAGCGAAATGACGCGCACGATCGCAGGCATGCCTGCTCGACGGCAGGCCTGCGCCGCGCCCTCCGTGCTGAGCCCTGCCCAGCGCTCCCACGACCACCCCGCGCCCCAACCAGTTAACAGGTAGCCGCGGTGTGTGGAGATCAGGTGGCCGCCCCCCCCCCCCCCTCGCCCAAACACACACACACACATGTCTGTCTGTCTGTCAGTCAGTCAGTCAGTCAGTCAGTCAGTCTGTCTGTCTGTGTGTATGTATGTATGTATGTATGTATGTATGTATGTATGTATGTATGTATGTATGTTTTTATGGCGCCGTGTTGCTCAAGGTCCGCGCGCCTTTTTGGCTCAGACATCGCACGATCGCTGTCCGAGATGCGATTCGACGCAGGGGAAGCATCGTTGATGTCTTGTTCTTACTCGCAGCGCCACTGGCGTCAAGGTGCCAACGATGCAGTGTGATGTTGCCAAAGGCTTGCCGACTTAGTGGGTGATGACCTCCTCAGTGCCACGCCGTGTCTTTATTCTGGCCCAGAGGGTCGACAGGTGCGCCTTCCCTTGCCTTCCCAACAACGTGTACCTCCACTCTCAGATCTGAAGAAGGCGAGCACTGCCCATGCGCAGCGATGACGCGCGGCGCATTTCAGGAGCGACGATATTCGGAGATAGGCCCCAAGGGGGACGCATCGAACCCCAATCACTTCTTCACCGCCGGTAGGGGCCTGATCAGCCCACCCCGCCCAGGAGCATGCGGATCTGCCCTCGGGGGCTATCGCCGATCTGTCGGCGATGTATGCCCGATTCAAGCTCACTGCGTCCCCCTGAGCCAGTTCTCCCTAATTATCGTTCCCCCTCGCCCTTCAAAACTGAAGAAGGTGAGCACTGCCCATGCACAGGGATGGCGCGTGGCGCATTCCAGAAAGTGCTCCGGCTTCAGCGCGCTTCGCCTTCGGCGGAAGTTGGCGGAAGGCGGCGGAAGTGAAAGTGTGATTTCTTCTACGTTTTCGGATTCCGGATTTCTGGATTTGGCCAGTGTATGGTCTGAAGTTCTGTTCTCTCCTCACCACTCCCTCCCTGGAGAGACCTTTCGCCCGACACTCGACCCCCCTCCCTCCACGAGGATTCAAGGACCCGATTCTGATCGGACAGTTGTCGGAGGAGGTGGAGGGGGGAGAATGAGGAGATCTGAGGATCTGACGCTTCGGGCACTCAACTCGTCGGATGCGGAGGAGGGTCCTGCACCCCCTCCCCTTCCCCAATCCTAGAGCGGAGGACGAGGAGCTCATGGCTCGGTTCGTGAATAAGCTGGAGTTGCCGAGGCGCCGCTCTCTCTTTCTGCCCTGCTCGCCCACCGCACGAGGTCACAGGGCCCCTGCGCTCGCAGTCAGTGCAGCCTCCTCCCTCCTTCTTCCCCGACGCCCTCTCTGCTCGTGCCTCCTTCGACTCATCCTCCCTCCTCCTTCTCCCTCTTCCCCCTTCATCCCCCCTGCTCGTCCGCCACACTCCACCCCGCCCTTCCTCCTCCCAACTTGGCTATCCTGCCGCATGCCTCGTCCCACTTCATCATTCTTCTCCCTGCTCCACCCACGGTTTGCCCACAGTGTGCTGATTATGTCGTGTTATCTTCGTTTTGCCCCGATGGTGCCTTCATAACCCGTTCACTTGCTCACGTTGTCCCGATTGCATCCTGATGGTGTGGTGATGATGTCCGAGCCATGTCCCGATGCTCCCATGGCGTCCCGATGATTTCGCGATGTGCTGTCCACGGTGCCTGGATGGTGTACCCAGCTGCCTGCGGCAAACCCTGGCACCGTGCCAGCGCAGCAGCGCAGCACGAAGGAGATTCATTGTACGACCCGTTCCAGCGCAGCGGCTTGCTTGAGCTGGCGTGGGCGTTGTTATCCCCGCCCGTGCCGCGGACCCCTCCCAGCTGGGCGGGCCCCACTGGGCCCCCCCCCCCCCCCTCTTGTCTCCTCGATGCCGCAGGCGCCCCCCTCGGCGGGTGCTCCCCTCCGAGCCCCGCAGGCCCTCCCCCCCCAGCTAGCCAGAGCCCTTGGACCCCACCCCTGGCGGGGAGAAGAAGAAGAAGAAGAAAAAGAAGAAGAAGAAGAAGACGAAGAAGAAGAGGAAAGAGAGGAAGAAGACGAGCAACAAGGGGGTAAACGCAGTGATGTTTGCTCGAACCGGCCAGCGTGCGAGCGATCTGAAGTTGCTTGGCGCGAGCAGCGCACCCTCACTCCGACATGGACGTTTGTATCTTGAAGCTCCTCCTCGGCCTGCGAGGCCATCCGTCGGTATTGCGGTCAGCGCGGATATCGATGCAGCCATGAAGCTACATATGTTTTGGGACGCGATTGCCGCCATGGTCAGCTCGGCTGCCAGAGGTGCTGGTGGAGGCGGTCGTTTCCGCAGCTGGCGCGGCCCACCCGATCGCAAGGTGCCTGCCAGAGCCAGCGCACCTGCCAGAGCCAGCGCTGGCACGCCCGTCGGAGCAGGAGCCAGGCATGGTGTCTGCGTGCACAGTACAGGCGGGAGAGACGGGTGTGCAACAAGGCTTCCCCAGACTCCGCAGCCGTTATCTGCATCAGAGGCCCTGCAAAGGGCGGTGCCCGCAGCACGCATTTACTGTACACGCGTTGGGTCCAGGAAAAAGTCGCTGCGTCGGAGCCGAGGCTGGAACGGTAGCTGGAAGGGGGGATCGTCCTGCCTCCTGCCTCCTGCCTCCTCCTGCCTGCTGCTTGCTGCTGGTCCTCTTTCCCCCGTCCATTTCTTCCATTCCCTCCTCCTCGTCGTCGTCGTCGTCGTCCTCCTCCTCCTCCTCCTCCTCCTCCTCCTCCTCCTCCTCCTCCTCCTCCTCCTCCTCCTCCTCCTCCCCCTCCTCGTCCCGTAGCCATTTTGGCCCAAGATGTTCCACTGGCGGGCTGTTCAGCCTCCAGGCGAAACGGATACCGCTAGTCCGCGGCCAGTCCTCAAGTGCTTCGAGCCTGCTGATTCGCAGCAACCTTCTGCCTTCACTGCGGGAGTTGGGCACCCGCACGCAGTCACAGTCTGACATGCCTGCGCAGCCGCTCCGTGACGGCGGCAGGCCCTCGCAATCACTTGCCCCTGGTCACCGTAGCCGCAGTGATGATCGAGGTGATCGCCGCGTTGCTGCTAGGGCGGGTGCTGCAGCTGTCGATGAAGATGGCTACGCAGAGTGGACACCAAACACGTTCCCGACACAGGAGCGTGGGCCCGACTCAGTGCATCAACGTGACTCATGGCACCGCGGGGGACACTACCAGGATTCGCGCTGGGCAGGAGCTAGAGCCCCTCAGGACGACCCAGCCAGAGGTCGTGGTGCCACTGCTGCCTTCCAAGCAGGTACGACAGTGTCAGGCGCTACCAGTCAGACAGCAGCGATCGGATCGGCTCCACAAGATGTCCCGCTGGAACATCGAATCGCAATGGCGATTGGAGCTCCGTTCACACATATTCAAGGGGAGCTCCAGAACTTCATCGGTGTTGCAGTGGGCAGCGCCATGGCGGACATTCAGCATGACACCGCAAGTGCAGTGCAGACACATTTGGCGCCCACAGTCGCCAGGATTACCACGGTCGAATCGGACATGCGCGGCGTTCAGGACCGCACCAGCGCCTTGGAGGCAGAACGACCGAATCTACGCCGTGAGGTCCACCGTATGCAACAGTCGCTGGCCATGGCGGAGTCGGCCGCATCATCGGAAGGCATCGATGTCGCCAGGTTTGCCACATGGGACCGCGAGACCAACCCGCGCCTCTTCAGCATTAAAACCGAGACGGGGGTCACCAAGAAGGATATTCTCGAAAGCTTGGCGGAATGGTTTGGTCATGCAAGAGCCAAGACAGAACATCTCGAAACCATTGGCCCAGAAGCACCTGGCAAAAGGTTTGCAGTTCACTGTCCTGGTGGTGAAGCTGGCACCATTCGTGCCCAAGCTCTGGTTCGTGCGCAACGGGATCCGACAGGCAAGTGGCGCAAGTTCAGTGCGATTGGAGTTGATGGCTACGAAACTGATACATATATATATATACATATATGTACAAGTGGCACGTGTGTGCCCAGGCTCATACAACAAACTGAAGGGGCGTTTGAAGCAGGAGTGAAATGCAACATCGAAGTCGCACTCGAGCGCAAGTGGGGTTGCCACACCTTGCGACCCCAGGAAGCCTTAGGAGGCCCGACTTGGATACCAGAAGAGGCTCCAGGAGGCCCCAGGATTGTGAGTGTTGTGCGTGTGTGTGTGTGTGTGTGTGTGTTTGTGATGTATGCTTCGTGTGGTGCGTGCTTTTTGTGTGTTGTAGGTGTTGTGTGTGTGTGTGTTATGTTTGTCTTGCGTGTGATGTGTCGGGCGTGATTTGTGTCTCTGTTTGCATGTAGCTCTGAAGCCCCAGGGGGCCCCAGGAGGCCTCAGGAGGCCCCAGGAGACCCCAGGAGGCTTCAGGAGGCCCCAGGAGGCTCCGAGGCGGGGTCTGGGGTGCCAGAAGGTTCAGAAGGCCCAGGAGGCCCCAGGAGGTTCCAGGAGGCCCCCAGGAGGCTCCGAGGCGGGGTCTGGGGCTCGATTCCGGAAGGATTTTTCAAGCGAAACCGCCATTCACTGAGAATCGGGGTCACAATTATTGAAATTACCATGTGTTTTTGAAGGTTTTATGTTAAAATGGTGAATTTCCCATGTGTTTTTGGACCCTGACGTCGCGATCTGCGTGAGGGGTGCCACCGATTTTCAGAATTTCGAGGATGTCCCGAGCGAAACGCCCAGACAAATCGCGGACGCGTGCGCACTAATCGCCTCTGAGCTCTACTCCCATGGAGAGGTGCGTATGAATATATATATATATATATATATAGATATATATATATGTATATATATATATATATGTGTGTGTACATTGGGCCCGATCGCAATCCAAAGCAGGTGCGCCGTGGAGTTCAAACCAAAAGTTGTACAGCAACTACTACAGCGTGCCCTACCACATGCAGAATGGTGGTCCAAGCGTCAGCTTGGATTGGTGGACTGTGGCGACCTGCCCCTGGTGGAGGACATCCCTGGGGCTGTGCCCAATGACCCGTCAAAGCTTGCGTGGAGCCCCGTGGCGAATGCGCAGTACAACATCAATAAGGAGCAGATCAGCCAGGCGTTCCACCAACTCCTCAGGGAAGTGGGCACGTCCACATGGTCATGTTCCTGATGGAAAGTGGCGGCCGTGGGACCTAGAGCCAGGTGGGCAGGGGCTCGAGACCGTCTCGTGGAATGCTGCTGCCCCCCTTTATGCCGTGACCGCCGACGGAGGCGCATGAAACTGGCCAGAGTTGACGAACAGTTGAAGCGGGGAGCTATTGTGTGCCTGCAAGAAGTTCATGGCACTCACGAGACGCTCAATAATATTACGCGACAGTACCTCACCGGGGTCAAGATCTACACCACCGTGGGTGACTCCCCTGGCAAGGGAGGAGCTGCCATCCTCGCCCCGTGGCACTCAGAGAACACTCTCAGCAAGATCCCGCGCCATCCCTGGCCGAAAATCATCTCGCGGAGACTAGCCAAGGCGCGGGCTTTCTCGGTGGCTATGTCCAACCCAGTCAGTGGAATGAAGAGCAGGGTCATCAACGTGCACAACTACGAATTAAAGCCAGAGGAGCGCGTGGCATTGCAGACGGCTCGGCAGGGCAACGCCAATTGGGCACGAGAGGACGAAGCACACAGACTGGCGGCGGCGATCGGCGACTTGAATGCGTCCGACAACCCGAACGACTCGCTGCTGTTTCCTGAGCCGAGGCAGGCCCGTCTCTCCCAGGCAGGTCGCGCAGACCACCGCGATGCATTTTGGCGGGGCCTCTCCAACGGTCAGATGGCCGAGGTGTCGACAGACCTCCCCGCCCACTTCTCTCGCTCCACCTCGTCGCCCCCCTCGATCGATCGGGCTTCCGCCCCCCTCCCCCCTCGCTTTCTCTTCGAAGCTGAAACGACACTTGACATTATCCAGGAGGCCGCAGAGCTTGCTTATTGCCATATTAGCGATCATGCGATCATTCGTCTCATTCTGAAGCCTTGTGCAGCCATTCCCAAGGGGCGACAGAGAGTTCCACCGTTCATATTTAAGCACCGCAGGTTTTCTGAAATCTTAAGCAACTGCCTGGCCGGCTGCGATCTCGACTCTCGCCCCCCCCCCCCCCCCGAGGCCTGGTCCCTGCTCAAAGAAAAGATGATAGTAGCCGCGACAGCCACTCGTAGAGAGCTTTTGAAATACCCCAAGGGAGTAGGCGGTGATGACAATCTCGAGGCTAGATGTCCGGCCCCCC